TCTCTCTCTCTCTCTCTCTCTCTCTCTCTCTCTCTCTCTCTCTCTCTCTCTCTCTCTCTCTCTCTCTCTCTCTCTCTCTCTGCATCCCAGGACTTTTCCCACTTAGGCTACACATGCGGAGTGCGGTGATACACATCATCCTGCTCCCATGCTGGAGTGACAAATGGCACTTGCAATCTTTCTCTCATTTATCATCAGCAGCAATGGCAGAAGCAAGATCACTGGTAGGGCAACAGTAAGCTTCACATCCGAACCTTCAGCAAAAGTACCAAGATTGAAAGTTTTAGAACATACGAATGAATTCCATTAAAATACTGAAGCCTATATAGGATATACTAAACCCTAATTTTCTATGCTATCACAAACAACAGTGATTTGATTCCTTCTACGCACTTACCACTGTCGACTCAGAGCTGTCTCTCCTCGACTGGAGATCAGTCATGCGGGCGTGGTTCAAAAAAGTACAGATGGACTTACCTGTGTTTGCTGCTCTTTCGCGTATACTATCGCCATCCACTGGCTGGGGTCGCATGAGCTGCATCCGAGAGTAAAGGCGCTGAGCAAAGTTTGACATCAGATCTTTTTGAATTGCTCTCAAACGTGCTGCCTTCTCCTCCACATCCCTTTCCAGCGCTTGCACTTCTTCTTCCAGTCTTGAAGCAGGGCTGGTGTGCCGGTCAACGTCACCGTGAACTTCACCTCCAGGATCACTGCAGGCTGATGCCACAACAGAGTCAACCAAAGCACAAGATCACTGTTACATAACTCCGAAACCATTTGAGCATATACAGTGTAAGAGTTCACAAACAGTCAGCGCAAAGACCTGCACAGCGCTCACACCTCCTTAGATCTTCACAGACTCCGTCTATACCTTTATAACAGAAAGGGGAGAAGTTCTGTTACAGGACTTCTCCCCTGTTTCCCTTAAACCTTCATGGACTCTGTCTATACCTATATAGGTATAGACGGAGTCCGTGAAGGTCCAAGGGAAACAGGGGAGAAGTCCCGTAACAAGGAGCAACAGGCAAAAAGGGCAGGGAATGAGAATGAGATTACACATAATGGAACACAAAGAAGAAGATGGCTTGAGCATTAATGTCATGGCGAACATAATCTCCTCCTCCACACCTCCTTGACGATTCACACTGCCACGGCAACTCAACCCTTCCACGCAATATGCCACTCAGATTGGAGGTAAAATGTCAGAAAGTGGGGGGGGCGGGGAGGGGAGGGGGCGGCTGTTCAGAGTGTGGGCTTCACTGCACCGCCACGGAAACTCAACCCTTCCACTCAATGCGCCACTCAGATTGGAGGTAAAATGTCAG